AAATTAATGGGTGCCAAATGGGGGCTTAATCTCCAAACTTTGCCTCCAATAATTTAGTCCTCGTACTTTGGGTTTTTGCCATTTTCCCGCTATTTTGCATTCTTTTCTTCAATTCTTCATTAAACAAAAAGTTTTGCCTACAAAACACAATTTAATATAAATTAGGTAGAATTTAATTCAAAGGATAATAAAATATCATGATTTAGAGCCTCGAACAAGTATAAAAATTACACTTATCACACCCCCAAACTTGACTTTTTGTTTGTTCTCAAACAAAGCTAAAATCTAACAAATACACAAATATGTAATGCTAATTACCTAATTGGTGGTCAGTCAATCAAGCAAAGCAAAACGATTTAGTTAGCTAACCTGGCTTTTTATCTCATGATTGAAATTATAATATTAATCTAATCACAGCTTCAAAATCACAATACAGAAATTAAAATCTACTATTTCAATGTAAAATCAACGTGCTGTGAATAATTAAGCATAACATTATGAATTTATAAGTTGTTTCAATTCCCGACCCTCAATGGTCAAATATGTTCTTTCATCACTCGTAAGATTCACACACCCCCAAACTTATTCTTTCCGTTCTTTTCAAGTGTGTGAACTAAGGTTGAATTTTTTCACAATGCAGAAATTAAAATATACTTCTCCAATGTAAAATCGATGTGTGTGTGTGAAGAATTAAGCATAGTATTATGAATTCATGAGTTGTTTCAATTCCCGACCCTCAATGGTCAAATATATTCTTTCATCACTCGTAAAATTCACACACCCCCAAACTTATTATTTTCACTCTTTTCACATGTGTGAGCTAATGTTGAATTTTATACTATCCTCACTTTTCTAGTTTAGGCAGATCGACTAATTGCTAGTCGAAATGTCAATGAATAAGGATTCTTCATAGTTGATTGCTTCAATCTTTAGGCCTTAAATGGGCTAATAATTCCCTATCAATAGTCAAATTTTCTCAAATAACTGTTTGAGACATAACAAGGCATTTGGTGCGTTTTCTGTTTCATACACCTGCTTTTTCTGATTTTCTAATTTTTTTTTTTTCATTTGAAACATTCTCACCCTTAAGCTTTCTAAATGACCCATGTAACAAGCTTTAGTCCGATAACTCTCAACTCAGATGACCATAGGGTACCAGGTTTTAAAAACCCTTGCAAACTTAATTACTTAAGTCATAAAGGCTACGAAGAGAAAATCTCAAATAAAATAATTCTTTTTCATTTTTTTTTTTTTTGCCTTGATTAGTGCAATGTCCCTCATTAAAACCAATTTTAAAAAAATGACCTCTAACTTGAGATTCTCGCCAAATTTCATCATATTGACTTTAGGCAATCCACACAATTTTTGTTTTACACATGAAATCCCGGTTTATCTTAATATCTCATCACAACAGTGAAATACCCCAAACTATTCTAAATTTGGTCTAAGGATGTAAAATTTTGTGGTTTTGGATTTAGCATCTATGGTGTACTATTTCAACATATGCAATTATGAGTTCAACTCATTCTTACACAATGCTTAACTTAATTCATGTGCTCAATATATATCAAATTTCATGTGAGAAAGTAAAAATTAATCTAAGTATGCAATTTATTCACCGTTCATAGATCAATTCATGATTCAATACATTCATCATTGTCAGTCAGGTCAACTAACTCACACAAGCACACACACACACAAAAAAAAAAGTTTGAATTTTTTTGAAAATTTTCAATTTTTTATTTTTTTTAATTAAAGCACACAAAACACAATTTTTTATTTTTTTTAATTAAAGCACACAAAAACACATAAAAAATGAAATTCATATTTTCCACCCCCAAACTTAAACTAAACATTGTCCTCAATGTCTTAAATTCTAAATCTGCATGTAAAGGAGTGGGGAAGAAAGAAGAAAAAACTCTCCTGATATGGCGTGCAATTCAACAGTTAGCATTCATGTTACTTCTGTGGCTCATTGGTCAAAACTGGTTTAACTGTTTTGCGACGTCATGTTCCTGAAAACTCAAATAAAACATCAAGATCAAATAACGGGAACAAGTGTTACTTAACTCTAACATCTATGAAACCAACAAAATGAACAGCTATAGGGAAACGAGTGAGTGATGATGAATCCTAAATAAACATAAAATAAATTAGATTTCCTAAAACGCAAAAACAGAATAAATAAATAAATAAATAAAATGCTTGTGTTGCCTCCCAAAAAGCGATTCTTTAACGTCATTAGTTTGATTTAACCAAATTGTCTACGTTGGATCTTCAAGTGGCACGTCTCTCACGTTTCTAAACTTTATCATCGGCTTTGTATTCTTCTTCACTATAGCATGGCAGATAGAACTGGATGGCTTTAAATCCAGTATGGCCTTCAAAACCTCTTTTGGTTTGACATTGTTTGGAGGTTTCCAAGGTTTTTCCACATAGCTTTCATTTTTGTCAGGTAGATAGACTTCATGAGCCAACAGGAAGTCAACTACTTCATTGGACTTTGAGCATTTACAAGTAAGAGATGTATCCATTACTGGATAACTAGTAGTCACGTGCTACACTAGAGGGTCATAGAATAAAATCTTGTTTTCTCTATTACTTACAACTACTTCAACTAATTGGATCATATCGCAAGAGTAAGCATTTTCTGGAGGTTTCTTCGCTTGATAGCTGTTGAAATTTACGCTCTTATCATTAACCCCCAGTGTTAACATTCCTTTGTGTACATCAATCAATGCTATTCCAGTAGCCAAAAATGGTCTGCCTAAAATGATTGGAATATCCACGGTCTTCTTCTATATCTAATACGATAAAATCTGTAGGATAAATGAACTTGTCCACCTTTACCAAAACATCTTCAATAATCCCCCTTGGATGCTTTATGGAGCGATCAGCCAGTTCCAATGATATTATGGTTGGTTTTACCTCTCCAATCCCTAGTTT